TTAAAACTATACGAAAACCAACTTAACAAGAAATAAAACTTTTGATTGACATACGGGAAACTACACTTATTGTATTTTATTCTTTAGTCGATGTTCAACGTTTTTTTAGTGTAATTTGCTGCAGCAATTCAAGAAGACAGTTTACGGTTTTGTACACACTTTTCGCATACAAATGTCGATCACTACTACTCTCCGGTCTAACAAATGTATGCTAGAAGAAATAAAATTTGTGCTTACAGCGACCAATGTTGTTATCAGTTAATTAACAACTGTTCCTTTACTTTTGCAATATCAAAAGATCTAAATTCTTCAGATCAACACAAGCTTAAAATTGAACCTTGTGCTTTCTAAACAACGGTGACAATGGTAACAGTAACGATGTTACCTGAAATTGCTCCATAGTCGTCCATCTTCATAAAGTATAATGTAGGCATTTTCAGTTGGTGAACTGTGCACTTTGGAATCTTTGCTGTTGATAATACTGGTGTCTGGTGTCCAAATTTTTGCTCGAAAATCATGTTTTAGAGTAATATTTGTAAAACATACTGTTGAATTGTTAAAAAGACGATCACGAAATTTGAGTCGTTCATCAACCCAAATTTCACTGTACATAAAATCCACTTCAAAATCACCCGTGATTTCAGATATACCCGAAACACCCTTAAAAAAAGAAGGAAATCATATTTTAGTCATAAAATTTAATAGATAACCTCAAGTTTAATATCAAAAAAAAAACTAGTTAAAAAGTAGTCATAAATAGATGAAAAATTTAATAATAATTAGTTAACTTCTCTGCGTTTACAGTAATCGAATTGGCAGAAATTTATGAGTATAGTCATTATTTTCATTCGTAAAAAAATGTTCTGTTATTTAAATGAAAAAAACGATAACTTTATCTTTCAGTTACCTAACCAGTCAAGTAAACTTCCTCTGTTCACCAGTATAATTTTTTATTCTTTACTGATCTTCATCAGCTTCTTAAAATCTTCGAACAGTTATTTTTTCATTAGCAAATTAAGTGCAGATAATTGGAATAGATTTTTAATTTCTATTAAAAATTAAAGATGCAACAAGCTATTATAGCAGTTTACAGACAAACCTGATTATTTTTCAAAGTATAACTGAACATCCAAGTTTTAAATAACCTTACTAAATGCTGCTGTCTATTTTTTGTTACAAAAGAAGAAAAACGTAAGCAAAAAAGAAGTCTTCTTTGTGCCAGCACTACAAGCCTTCTTTATTTTAGATCATTCCTTTAATATACTCTCTCACAAAAACCGCATCGTTGATACTGCAAATAAAAGGTTAATAATGACGTCTAAACTATAATCAAAAAAAAAAAAGTGAAATACTAAAACTTTAATTTATAATCAGTTGATATTTTATGGTTTTTATTAGAAGTTTTTGGAACGTATGGAAGTGACAGAAACCTGAATAAAGAAGGGTATGATTATCTGCTCAGCTTTATTTGACAACAGTTATCTTTTTTTAAAGCGAAACCATTTATTTGCAATAAATATTTCAACCTTAGTTGGTAAAAACATTGTTAAAAAAAAAAAAAAAGACGGAAAAAATTATGTAAATTTTTGGGATAATCTTCTTTCACTGCTTTTCAGCAACGTGCAAAAGTATCGGAACGTTTCGCGTCAACAATCCATCCAACAACGAAATAGGATAATCGTTCTTTTTTTTTCGTCGCTTTTGAACCTAACGCTGAGTAGCGTTGTTTCAGTACAGTTAACGTTACAGCTACTTTTAGAATTATTACCGGGTTTTTCTGTTTTTTTTCAGTACTTAATTTGTTTTAAAATGCTAGAATAAAGCGTTTTTTTCTTTATATTGCAGTTATTGCTAATAAAATGGAGAAGGAAAGAGAAAGAGGAGGTGAATAATCAATATATTTCATTAAATGTTAATAATTTGTAAAGTAGAAGGTAAAATAATAACAAAAAAAAATCTATGGTTATGTAAACGCCTTAATAGGCTAACAGATGACATTCAATGTTTTCAATAAATTCTTTTCTTTACTTCTGTTCTTCCTTTTTTTCAATTCTGAATTCAAAAATGTAACATGATGATAGTTGGAAACTTTAACAGACAACAAACATAGGTTTTTGGCCAGGGGTTAAACACATTGAAAAAATGTTGTATCGACGTCATCAGTGGAACAGATATATATATAT